TATGCATGTATGTACTAGAGAGAGAGAGAGAGAGAGAGAGAGAGAAAGAGAGAGAGAAAGAGAGAGAGAACGGTAAGTGTATTACAGTTTTACATTAACCGTTAATAGTTTGCACGTCACGTAATTTCCGATTGAAGTTTCAAACAAAGTATGTATGTATCTACTCTTTATGAGGACGCTTTTAACTTTTTCTTGCCTCTATCTATCTGTCTATGCATTTATATACGTATATAATGTATTTATACATTTATTTATTTATATGCGAGAATAGAAAAATAAAGGTGAAAATAAAAAAAAAAAAAAAAAAAAAAAAAAACTTATCGTGTAATTAATATTTGATCGTGAACGTTTTTATTAACGTCATTGATTTATATAGAGATAACCTTACTCGAGTCAAAAAATATCTATTTTGTATCAATTAATTTGTCTGACCTTGAAGTACTATTAATTAAATAATTTTTTATTTTATTTTTTTATATGATTTCTTATTCAATTACAATTGATTACTGATTTTGATTTTTCCAAGTATACACTACATGTATGTATGTGTGTAAGTACACACACATATATATATATACGTATATTGATCAAGTAGTATGAAATTGTTTTAATCAAATTTGCTTTTAATTAAATTCTTTACTTTGAAATTCTTTCGAGTAATTCATTTATTTGTAAAAATGTAAAAATTTTTTTATATATAATCTCTTTTTAATTCTTCGATTAATTTGTGTTTTGTTTTTTCTTTCTTCTTTTTGTTTTACTAATCAATTTTATAATAAACATATGTGTATGTGTGTGTGTGTACCTGTCATAAAAATTTCCGAGTACTATTTTAATAAAACCTAACTACAGTTAAATATTTAATCTTAAATATTTCGAATAATTAATTACTTTTGAAAAAATATAACATTTTCTTTACGAACTTCTTCTTAATATATCAATTAATTTATCGCGTTATTGCAAATGGCACTTTATAACACATAAATACATACATACATATAACATACGTATAAATGTTTAACCAAACATTTGGTTATAATTAAATTTAATCAAATTAACAAAAGTAGTAGTGATTTAAACAAATTAGCAAAAGTAGTATTAATTTAATCAAACGTACAATTAATAAATATTTAACATATTCGTTAATTAATTTTTAATGTAAACAGAAATTTTTCATATAACCTATCAATTAATCTATCGTTTTGTTATAACATTTTTGACGTACGCGTGCATACATATACACAAATTCGTAATCACTCGACAGTTGTATTTAAAACCGAGGGAAGAAAAAAAAAAAGAAACAAAGAAAAAGCAAAAAAAAAAATAAATGAAAAAAAATTTTTTAAACATATGGAAAAAGATGTATAAAAAAAAAAAAAGATAACGAAAATGTCTAAAATCTGTAGTTACCTCTTCCGTAATTTAAACAATTATTTTCTTTTCTCTTTCTCTCACTCTCTCTTTCTTTTTTATTTCTTCTTCTTTTTTTGATGAAGCAAGACTTAGGAACAATTAGGGTCGGCATAAAGAAGTTTTCTCAGTGAGAAAATGAGAATTACACGAATCCGTAATAATAATAATAATAATAATAATAATACCATAAGGGATGAAAGAACATTTACTCGATTGAAAAATATTCGTTTCCTTTTTCCTCCTTCTTTTCAATTTGTTTTCTTTTCCTAATCCGTATTCTCATTTTCGGTAAATGATATAAAACGAGTAAACTTTTCGCGAATGAGAAATCTCTCATTTCGTTTTATCTCTCTATTTTTTTTCTCTCTCTCTCTTTTTTTTTTTCTTTTTCCTGTATTACATTACGCAACTCAGTAACGAATTAAATTCCAATATTTCCATTGTAAAATAGAATTAAATTATTAACTCAATTCTCATGGCTTACGAAATTCCCGTAAATTCGTTTTAAAAGCTATGCACAAGTTAATCAACCTAACACACATCCATACATACATACATACATATCAGAGAGAAATAATATTTGAAAATCAACTGGATATTCACATTTATAATCTTATGTTTTTGAGATTAGTATTATATGTTCGAAGATATACGACAAACTTGTATTCTAAAAATATATATATATATATGTATGAAGAATCAATTGAATTAAAAATTGTATAATTACAATAAAAAGGATAAAACGATTTTTCATATCATTTCTTTGTCTTTTTTAAAGTTAAAATTTAAAAATGAATATCGTTTTAAATGATAATATTTATATCACCGATTTGATTCATTATCGAACAATCGATTGATCGATCGATCGATCGATCGATAATATAACGTTTGTCAATATTTTTTTTTGTTTTGTTTTAATTCGACTTCGTCAATAAGATAGGAAATGCAATAGGAAACGCAAATAACGTTAAAGCTACGAACCATGTGGAGAGTTTGCGAGATTAACCAAATCGTAAGCATGGTCATAGACCACATCAGATAGCGTGTAACGATGGTTTGAAATAAGTTGAAAGCACTACAAGTTTAATTACACCATCTTTGTGAGCAAGTAGTGAAGCGTAAAGTTTCCTTTCATATACGAACTGTATATATATATATGCGCATATGCATATTAGAACGTGCCGATATATCTCCTTTCTACACGTATATAATATATGTGTATATATATATATATATATACATATTATATATAGGTATAAATATATACATGCCATTTTACAGATAACGTTATAATCGTATTCGTCGTATGAATTACGACGAATGATAATAATCAAACAAATATAAGTCGGAGATGATCGTCGTATACTACGATAAAAATAATATTTATCGTGCCTAGTATCCTTTCAAATGTGAAAATTAATATTAATTCAATGAAACTAACCTAAAATTATTGTAATTTCTAATATACCGTTAATAATTTTATTAGTATAATAATTAATTTCCCGCGAATTAATGTTTAGTCTCTAATAAATCTAATCTAATATTATCGTATTACCAATCATGTATTAATAATTATTTTATTATAATAATTTTATCATAGAGATTAATATTACTTGAATAAATCTAACCTCGAATAACTCGATGATTGGTATCGCGCATCGATAATATTGCTATAATAATTTTCTCGTGTTAATTAATGTCAATCGAATAAAGTTCAACGACAAAATTATTATTATTATTATTATTATTATTATTATTATTATTATTATTATTATTTTATCTCGTAGATATATTTAATACGTACTTTTTAATATTTTTATTATTTAGATAATATTTAATCGTGAAAATTTATCTTAAAAATCATCTCGAATTATCTTACGATTAATATCGATTAAATATCCTTAATAATGCACCTAATATTTTTTATCTTATAAATAGAATACTTTTATTATTGTTAGAGATAAAAAAAAAAAAAAAAAAAAAAAAAAAAAAACGTCAAAATATCAAATTCATTGTGAATATCTTAATAATTTTATGATTTAGATGATATAGTTTTAATGTTATAAATATTTCATAAATTATTTATACAATATTATTATTATTATTATTTTCTAAAAAAGAAAAAAAGAAAGATTATTTAAAAAATAATAATTACTTGTTCCTATAAGGAAATAATTAAAGATCGATAATGAGAACTGAAAATAATCGAATTTTTGATCGATTCTAATTAAATCGAAATACCACAATAAATCGGAAACGTTCGTCCTTGGAGTTACGTGAGATTATCAAGGGATGATGGATCAAAGGAATGTAGATCAGTAACCTTGAATTTTCAGTGAACACCACGGAAATTGACTTTTCTATGAGTTTACACGCTTTCTCTGTATAAAACTGAAAGGAAGAGGGTAACGTTCATAAATATCCATTTCGTGGATATTTATCCAGATATAGCGGACTTCGTTGGCAGAAATGACAAAAAAAAAAAAAAAAAAAAAAGTAAGAAAATCCACGAAGTTTTCATTTTTGTATCATAATAGCAATAAATATTTGCAATACGATATCGTAAGACGGAACGTGTGATAGTAATTAAATCGAAAGAGAAAAAAAAATTATTTAAAGTTGTTCGAAATTAATAATCCCAGAAATAGAAATTTTCAAATTTCCTATTAACGATCCTTTCAAGATTCATTCATCGAGATACGTTCGAAAAAAAAAACAAAAGAAAATCTTAGAAATTAATTTGTCCTTGAATAAAAAAAGAAAACAATTACCTTATTTCGATGTTAGTCCATCGTCGACGTTTTTAGTTTCGTTCACTGATATTTCCGCGATACAATTTCGATTCAATCGTTCGTGTCGGTCCGTAACGGTCAAAGAATAACTGACTTTTCTTAGTAAAAATTCGAATGAAATTCTTTATAAAAACACGAAACTAGAGTCATCTTTAGTGAATTGTATAAAAAAAATATTCACGTCGATAATATTGCACAGATTTATCGACCGACGACGATCGCTGCAATTTCTCGTTGATTAACAATAAAACAATAAAATTAACATGAATTCACGTCGATATCGTAGATTACTTTTTCAATTCAATATATCGACCGTGAAAAATTCCCTTAATAATAAAACAAATCACAATCGATTTACCCAGTATAACTTTTAACTACGTTTGAACTCGCATAATATCGTAGAGATGGCACCAGAGTAACAAGTTCTTTCTTTCATTCGATCTACGTGGACATCCTTATCGACTAAGATCGTTACATTCGATTCTATGATGTGTGTATATGTATGTCGTATGTGTACATATATATATATATATACATATCTTTATTGCAGAAGACGAAATAAGAGTTATGGCGAATATAAGAGAAATCGTAGAAGGATTTAAAGATAATTTATCAAATAAATTAAAATCGAATATGAATTTAATTTAACTTAAAGAAAACACGAAAGATTGTCAATGACGAAACTATGTGAAATATCGTACGAAGTAATATAATTCTTCCCTATGGAAACCCTTGAAGTTCTTAAAGGAACACGTGACTGGTCTGTGGCAGTGACGTTTGCAGCCTCTTTCTGAC